TTACTATTAAAATATATTAAAGATCAAACAAAACTTTAATTAATATCTATCTATAAATTAACATTAAAATCCCCCAACAAAATGATAGTACACATATAAAACAAATGGGAGGGCCTAATGTCTTTTATATATATATATATATATATATATAAAATACGTTGACTATTGTCATACGACAAATGTAATTTAAGTTGTTACTTAATCATTCCATTGGTTCATAGAATAATAAAAATCATGTAACATTGCCAAAGAACCACCATCTTAATAAATATCCAATGCTTATGGCAAAGAATAAAGAGAATGTTGTAAAAGATTGATTGGATTCATTTTGCTTTTTCTTTGATAAAAAAATTAACTTTTTTCTCTATAAATATTGGGATGAAAATGTAATATTTTAAGTGAGTTGGCTAACATTCCATACACCAATAACTTTGACAGGTAACTGAGGTCTACCTTCTCTATTTAAGGATTAACAAACACACTTATATTACGAAGTTCTGGATCATATGAATAAAAGACTCGCTATTTATATATGGTAGAGCATGTGATGTTGATCAATTCGATCTTATCTATTATACCTTCCTACCCAATACATAAGGTCCTCCTACCTGTGTTTATCATAAACTTGCTTAACAAAATCATTGGGGAGTTTACTTGGGGTAAGCGATATGGTGCTCGTAAGATCCACCTTACTAATTGGAAGATTGTTTACCATCCTAAGTAATAACACGAGACTTAGATTATGAGACATGCCTCTCCATAATAAGGCGTTCCTTATAAAACTTGGTTGACGTCTCTTTAGTAATGGGAAAGCTCATAGGTTAAGATCCTTAAAGCAAAAAATACCTTTTTAATACTAATGTGATGGATATTATAGAGGCGCTTCAAAAAACTTATTATACTTAAAAAAATTTGAGCAAATATATTAATATACTTAACCTATAAATTATATGAAAAATAGAAAATAGGCACACTATTAGATTTTGGTTGGATATTTGAATTAGGGATTGACCCTTGACTTCCTTTGTACACGGTCAAATTGATAATTAGAGTAAAAATCGTATGAATAATTTGTATACTCATTAAGATTTTTTTGGAATTTGAATGAATTCGATGTCTTACTCTTGTATATGATGTGCATGGTGATATCCCATATCCATGTCTCTAGGAGCAATAAAATCTCAGATGAGATGAATTTACAATAATGATGACTATGTGATGGTGAATAAGATGTATACTTATCTTAATGATGGTGCATTACCAGATCAAGTAGCCTTTGAAAGAATATTTAGTCTATCCCAATCCCAAAAGAGTCAGATTATTTTGTTGGTTACTTGCTTTTAATTGCCTTTTCATGAACAATAAAAGGAATAAAAGACATCTCACGTAGGATGACCATTGCCATAGGTGTTGTCAAGGTTGTGAGAGCCTTTTACATTTTTTTAAAGATTGCACTACATCCAGACAGGTATGGTTGGATTTTATTGATTTTAAGTATTATAATATTTTTTTTTCTCATTCATTTGATAAATAGATTAAGTAAAAGATTTGGAAGGAAGGGAATAAGTAAGAGATAACAAGTTAGAAATCTATTTTTGCGACCATTGCTTGACTTAAATAAAGGATAATAAATGACTTTTTGCATATAATAAACAAGAGATTCACGATCCCTCTAGAACTTTCAGAGCATTTACCTTGCCTTAGAATTTTAGACTGCACAAGGTAAGAGTGTTCAATATCCTGACATGTGTGTTAGGACTCATATACTTGAGGTGAGTTGAGCGACACATTTAGATTATTGGTTTAAGTTAAATACGGATGGTCGACCCTTAGCGACCCTAATAGAGCTACAGTTAGTAGTCTCATTCATGACAACTAGGGGCGTTGGGTGGTGGGTTCATAACAAGCTAATAACCACATAGAAGATTATTATTTTGGAAAGTATTTTTAAATACAAGATAAGACTGATCTCTATATGTTTCAAATTGAACACGAACTAAAAAATATATTGAATTATGATTAGGAGATCCATAATTTTCATGTTTTTTCGAAGACAAATGTGCGTGCTAACTATCTTGATAAATGGTCCCACAATATCCATGAGGGCAATATCTACCTTTATCAGGCTCTGACTTAGACATTACATTGATATGAATTTTTGTAATATCACTTTGATTGGCTCAACTGTCTACAATATATAATTTTTTTTTTATAATTTTATTTTTCTGTCATTCTTTAGCAAAAAAGAATTGTCATTTAAACACAAGTTAACAAATCCATTAGTGACATAAAATAAGGTTCTATGTTATCCTCTTACAAATAGGAGAGTAACCGAGTAGTTAATCTTCTTGATAACAATAAAAAGCTCTTTGAGAACTCAAGCAACTTGTTTAGAAACATATAACAAATATGTATTTAATCCAACATAAATAAACATCTATAATAACAAAATAAGGAGAGAAAAAAGGGGCCCAATAATGGTGGTAAAAGACAAGGATAAAAAAAAAAAAAGATTTACAAAGATAATAACCTGAACTGATGAATACTGCAAATTGTATTTATGAATCATAAAGATTGAAGAAGAACAAATAAAAGGAAGTCCAAGAGATTGAAATAAAATTAATTAACAAAAAATAACTCCGATTATTTGCATTGTTAACTATATATAATGGTTTAAAACCATTAAAGACATTAGTGTAACAATCTCAATGACTTATTTTTTAGTTTAACAAGAGTAAAAAGTTATTTTTTTGGTTCATGGAGAATAAAACGATAAAAAGATAAAAACAATAAATGTTTATGTATAACTTTGATAAGGACTGATATGTTATATATTTGCATATTTAAAAAACTAAAACATTGAGTTTTACTTAGAAACCCATGCAAGAGAGGGGTGGGGTGATTGTCTATCTAAGAAACTTAGATGGTACACATTCAAATTTAAGAGTAAAAAAGTATAAGCTTGAGAAAAAGTTGGATTACTTTTTTTGGTTGTTGTTGTTAGTGGTTAGAGTTACTCAAATAATGATTTTTATATACAATTTTAATATGCATGTATGTGTTGGTAAATAACAAAAAATCTTAAATATTTATTGTTGTAATTTATATAAGACAAATGATTTATGATTTATAAAGTAACTAATTGATGAGAAAAAAAAGTTAAAAGGGGACTTTGACTTTTAGCCACTTGTTTGTTCATTTAGGTGTCCATCCATCCAACTGTGGAGATCCTTCCCCTTCCCCCCTTCTTTTTGCATCCGAGATTGAGGAAGAAATTATTACCAAAGGAGTAATTTCAATGTGGGCTGCCTTTTTTAGGTTTGATTTGACATGGTGGAGATTGTGCCGTCCAATTATTTTAATGATCAGTATACACACCAAAGGTAGGAAGTAAGGTTTAGAATAAACGTAAGAGAGTGGTTAATAATTGCAACAAAAATAATGTTAATTGTTATTTCTCTACATTAATTATTATTATTGCAATCTGAAAAAATCTCTCTCTTTTTGGAGTAACATACACTGTAGAGGTTGTTCTCGGTGCTCTCATTTTAAGGTTTGTTTAATATTATAACATTGATGGTAAAACTTATGATATTTGAAGGTACAATTTATTGAGTTATTTTATTCAATTACCATGAAATATTGCATTACCATAACAATAAATAGTCTACTGATTTTTTTACCATTTAAAATTTTGTAACTTTTTTGTCCTATGAAATATTACGTAAAATTACCATATTTAGAAGATATAATTTATTTATAATTATGATGAAATATTGTATTATGATAGCAATAATTGGCCTAATAATTTTTTTTTTATCATATAAAATTTTGTAAATTGGTCTAGTAATTAATTCTTTTACCCTCCAAAATTCTGTAATTAATTTCATTGAATATAATATCCAAGAGACGAGATGCTAAGTAAACTGCAAGCATGTATAGATATAGATAAATAATAAATGCAGATAGTTTTGGGTGAAATTAATTTGTTAGGTAATAGGCAACGACAGAGAGGTCCACCAGAGGTTATATGTAGAGGCATTTCAATATGGGGCACTTCTCTGTGTGGCTTAAAATTGTTATATGGTTGTAATTATATATATATATATATATAAGCAAAGATTTTTAAATCATAAGATAAAAAACAGAAAATAAAATAGAATGATGTGGGGGGGGGGAGGGGTCCAGCATTCACATGTAAAGCGTTTTTGCATGAAGAAGGCTTCAACAATATGCACATTGCTCATTTAATATGTCTATCTTTAGCTGTTCAGGCTTCTTTAGGTTCGGCCCCGTCTCTCCCCATTCTTCAAACTGAAATTTAACTTTCGAAATCACTTGACTAATTTATCCCAAAACAATCAAACACAAATACATATTACATATACACCAAAAACAGTGTGTAGTAAGTAGTGAATACTACGAATGGATTTGTCAAAAAAGAAAAGAATACTACGGATGTTACTTCTTCTCGTTGTAATTAAAACTCACCGTTTTTACCTGTTTCTTGCTGCTAGTCATATGAACCGGGACCCCGTGCATCTAAAGAAATATAAGTTGTCTGAGTTGAATTGATATTTAATTCAATAATGTTAAATAACATATACTTTAAATTAATCAAGCTTGTTCAAGTTAAATTCTTCAACTTTCGCTCTTAAGATAAATTATATAATAGTAATTCTTTTTTTGCTGCAGCATTTATGTTATATTTGCTGTCATAATAAATAATTAGAAGAAGAACAAAAATATCCATTATATTTAGTTTTATTAAATTGGATTGCTTTACTAATTACATCAAAAAAATTCCACCATGTTGGCAACTGCATATTTCAAATTAAATGTTGTTATTTGTCCTTTAAAATAATAATAATAAAAATGTAACAATTTGTGCTTCTTGATGAGCAGAGATGGGTTTTATACATACAGCTGGTATTAACAAATGCAGGTCAACTTGTGGCAATCTCTTTATTTCAATATCCTATACTACCGAAATGTAGCAGTGAGACTGTAATAATTTATTCTTATTTATAAATCAAACACAATGTAATTATAATTTTATTATAGTTCTTCTATTTTCACTAAATAACTATTTCATTATCAGTATAATTTCACCAATGTACCAAATGATCTGTGATAAAATCCAATCGTATAGAAGCCAAACATCCCAAAAAATTTATCTATCTGGCAGAAATGGGTACGAGAGAAATGCTAGCTCTTCCTTCTACTACCAACGCCGTCAATCTGCAGAAGCAATGAATTGGTAACAACAAATATTGAGCTCAAGGCCATCAGCCCACCTGCAGAACCAAACAAATAATTAGAAGGTTATGTAAAACTTAGAAGAGCTTGGATAGCTTTTTTGCTCTTTTCAATTAAGAAAACCTTCAAAAACCAAAGAATCAACACACTTTCCCGAACCTGAAAGAGAAGGTGTCATTGCAAAGTCAAGTTGGGGAAGCAGAACACCCGCAGCAATAGGGATGGCGACAACATTATAAGCTACTGCCCATGATAGATTCTGATACACTTTTGCCATTGTTGCCTGAGCAAGATCCAATGCATCTACAACCTGCCATGAAGAAGTCTCAGTAAAGAAAACCAAGAAATCCGATGCCATTATCAGGGTTTTGCACTATGTGAACACTAGAAATAAAATATTTTATATATAAGTAACATCCTTCATGTAATCTCCATTAGATTATCTTTTCTTGTTTACACACGACAAACACATCATAAACTCCTTGGAAGAACCAGCTTTTGAAACAACCAATCTAATCATTGCTTAAAAAGACTTGAGCTAAATTTTTAAGTGAAACAAATATCTTCAGCTTCCGAATGATGATTTGTGAGGGAAGCAAATTCTAAGCAATCATCAAATACCAACGGGTGGAACTAGTGAATTAAGAATGCACGAGTAAATAAAGTGACTTAGACAATACACTTTAGACAGTACAAAAATAGAATGCACAACCATTGACAAGTTGATTTTTGGACAATTGCACAACCAACCAAATTACTTTAACAAGGTAAAGACATTACCAATTGATGGCATTTTTAGAACACTGGCAGAAGGACATTAATGCATAGAAATAGTTCAAAAGAAACCACAATTCAAATGAGTTGCTTTCAGCTAAGGCTTGTGCAGAGGGTGTACTAAAAAATAAATAACTGAAGCCATTTTCGATAAGCTTAAACTTTTAGAAAAATTGGATATTCAACCAAGTTATTTAACAGCAGTCAAGGTCAGTGAACTCTAATCTCGTTGACAACAAAAGAAAACCAAATGATGGCATTTTTAGAAAATTTGCACAAAACACTAAATGTTATAATAATAAAAAACAAGATTAATCTTAGTTGAATATATCAAGGTTAAATTAAATTACAGCATCAAAAGGAAACCCACTTGCGAAAGTTTGTTGCCGAAAAGTATAAATGGATGCTGCATCAGATGCAGCATTGTCTTGGGCTTCAGTCTGTAGAGCAATCCCAACATCAGCGACAGCCAAAGAGGGGGCGTCATTTATGCCATCACCTACCTTCACAAAGTTAAACTTGTCAGTTAATATCATTCAACCAAAGCCACAACTTCACACTTCATGCCCTGCTTGATTACACATTAAATTGCCTTTGATTTAGTTCCTTATAAGTTCATATCCATACGACTCCCCAAATATCCGTGCCCTGCTATAGAACTCTTTTGGTTGACTTAGTGGTCAATAGGGGCTAATTTCACCCAAATAACATTTTGTCAAGCGAAAAGTTGTTTCCCTTGTCTATAAAGAACTAAACATTTAAGCTAAATGATAATTCGGAACCATTATATGTAATTGTAAGATTCAAAACATCTTAATGTCCTGACAATATCAAAATGTTTTTAATGTTTTTGTTAAAAACGAAACTCTTGAGGATTAACTGGTTGAGGATGTTACCATCGCAACTTTATGCCCTGCTGATTGAAGAGTAGATATAACTGCAGATTTCTGCTGGGGAGTCAAAGACGCATTGATAAATCCACTTCCTATTCCTAGGGTCTCCGCTATAGATGCAACTGCCTCTTCCCTGTCTCCTGATAACAGGATTGTTTTGATACCCTTTTGCCGAAGCCTTACAGTGAGATAACAAAATAAGAAGTGAAGATGTTGAACAATAAAAAATAGAATCAGCATATATTTGCGGGAGTCTGTGTATGAGTGTGTTTTTGTGCATGTATGTGAATGCTCATTTGCATGTTTGTATGTCTGCATATGCAAGTGTGAGAATGATAGGGCCTACAAATGAAATAAATTAGACAAGATTGCACAATTAACAATATTTTTGATAGGGAAAATGCACCAACTTGGTACCACCCATACACAGACCCTATTATTCAATAAAATTTACACTTCATTCTTCATAGTTATAATCTTGTTGATATTGATGATACTATTCTAACCCTTTCTTCACGTAATTTCTTTTACAATCTCTTCTTGTCAACTTGAAAAACGAGTCACTGATTTAGTTATTCTCCATTATTTTTTGGATATTCAAATTCCTCACAATAAGGAGGGTCTCTTTCTCAAACAAAACAAGTATTCTGTAGATTTGTCACATTGACATAGTAAGAAGGACAGTAAGCTTCTAGTTCTATCAAATCTCGTGGTTAGGCTACTAAAAGCTATAGTTTCCTGCTTTCAGATGTTATTTTATATTACAATATTCTTAGAGCTTTGCAATATCTTACTCTGATTTGCTACAAGATTTTTTTGTTGTCAATCACTTACAGCATGAGGACCATTTTCAGGCTGTAAAATGCATGTTATGCTACAGAGGTAGTATTCTATATTATCGCTTGCAGCTCTACTTTGATTCTGGTAGGAGGCAAGATGTCCTAACACACGTCGTTTAAAAACTAGATATTGCATTTTTCTTAATAACAAATTGATCTCAGTTTTCTAAGGATCAGAGCACAGTTTCTCATTCTAGTTGAATATCATGCTATCACGGTAGTTTAGGACTTATCTTGGAACAAAATCGTGCTCCAAGAGCTTCATTTTGCTTCATCTGAATCTCCTGTCTTATCTAGCGATAATGTCAACACTACTTATATAACTTTGAATACTGGTCAATCATGTTCATCCTAAGCATATTGAACAGGATATTCACTTTGTTCGAAAGAAGTGCAGGTGAAACAGTTAGTAGTATAATATTTTGCTAGTCAAGATCAATAGCTACCATTTTCACTAGGGACTTTCTAATACAGGGTTCAACAACTTAAGATCCAACCTCTATGTATTATCCCGCATAGCTTGCATGGGGATGGAAGGGACCTAAATGATAAACATACTATTATATCTAATCTGTATCATAATTTGTGTAAATTACTAATATTTTTGCATAATTAGGATTATACAACCAAATTCTTTATAAGATTAAAATCCTGTATTCTAATGTTTTCTAAATTTTAAATAGCACATTATTGGGAATAATGAAATCACCATTGTATGTTTTTCTATACCTGTTTGTATTTTCCTTCAATACATATAAGTTGAGCACTGTGAAGTTGTGATAACTATGTGCACCAAGTTTAACAGGGTCATAACAGTTTATGCGAGAAGCTTACCTACTGATGGTTGATTCTGCATCATGACGCAAGCTGTCAGATATTGCTATGGCACCAATAATGCCTTCTCCTTCAAGTCCGACATAGATGACAGTCTTGGAATACTTTGATGATGATGTTATTGCTTTTGATGATTGAAACATTACATCCTGTTGTAGATCCATTAGATCAGATGAATTTCCTTTTATCTGGAACCTTTCATTAACCCAATCTAGAGCACCAACTGCAACTAAACGTCCATCAACTTCTGCTAGAGTTCCAAAACCTGGTTCTGCTAGTTGTCCTCTTGTTACTGGAACGGTCAAATTCAATTCTTCTGCTTTTCTTAAGATAGCCCTTGCAATTGGATGTTTTGCTGTTTTTTCTACTGCAGCAGCCATTTGAAGAATTTCCGAATTTTCATATGTAAAGGAAGCTATTGCAGAAACAGAAGGCTTTCCTTCTGTAAGGGTTCCTGTCTGGAGGACAGAAATTCGATCAAAACTGGAGTATAAAGTTTGCAAGTGATAAAAAAAAAAATCCTGAAAGCATCAAAGCCAGAACCATTTGCTAAACTTCTGAGGGTTAGAGAGAGAGAGAGAGAGGATTTTTTTTTATATAAAAATACCTTGTCTATAGCAACATAATCTATGCTGGCCAATCGTTCTAATACATCTCCTCCTCTTATTAGAAGTCCTTGTTTAGCTCCTGCTCATTTTCAAGGAACTTACAGCATTAACAGGAATAGCATTCATAGAATACAATCCAACAAGTCAAGGCTCACTTGCAACATCAAAACATTTTCCATTTTTAATCTTCGACTTATATACATCTTTATATGTTAAAACAGTTAAGTTACAGTACATATATGGTAAATTAAGAATAAAAAGAAAACAGGTTGCTAAAAAATTCTAAAAATCAACTTTTCATTACCTTCAAATCATGCCAGAATTTTACTTCAATTTTCTAAATGTTATTTTCATCTTTAACTCTATAGGAACTAAAAAAAATACTTTCATTTTAAACAGACCTCAATTGTTAGTCTAACAGACCTCAATTGTTAGTCTATTAATTATTGTTTCTACTTATTCTTGATTAGTTGGCAGCTGAGGATTATAATCACTGAGGATCAATGAACCAGGTTGTTTTATCTTCATGATGAGACCGAGGAGGTCATCATTAAAGAGGAAGTTAGTTGGTGGAGGCAGAGAATTCTAATCACTGAGGATAAACGGACCAGGTTGTTTTATCTTCATGATGAGACCAATGAGGTCATCATTAAAGAGGAAGTTAGTTGGAGGTGGAAGTCATAAGATTAAGTGGGTTGAGGAAGGGGATGTGAACTTGGTTCTTTTTCATAGGGTTCCTCTATCGGAGAAGGCAGAGAAAGTTTTATTAAGGAGTTAGAACTTAATAATGTGGAGATGGAGCGTGATCCTACATCGATGGAGTGAGATTGCTGAATTCTATATAGCTCTTTATAATGAGGAGGATAAGGATCGCTCATTCTTGAAGGGATTAACTGGAGCCAAATCAGCAAAAATAAGGCAAGATGCTTGGAGAGATTTTTTAAGGGAGACGAAGTTAAAAGGGCTGGGTAGGTTTGTGGCACTCAGATTGCTTCTTGTCCTGATGGTTTCTCTATTACATTTTACAAGCTTGTTGGACAGGAGTATGATGTAATAAAGGTCCCTTTGAGGAATTTTATTTAATGAGATAACTGATAGGAGTATTAACTCTACCTTTTATTATCTTGGTGCCTAAAAAGGATAGATCCAAGAAAGTCTCAAATTTTATCTCCATTAGCTTGGTGATTAGTGTGTCATGATCAAAGTTCTTTCTTTCCAATTGTCTGCATTGTTAAATTACCAGAGTTTTCTTAATCAAAGCACACCATGTGGGTTTAACAAATTCTTGATGATAGTCTAATGGCTAATGAGGTTGTGGAGGACATTGGAAAGGCTAAAAGGAGAAAGCGGCTTTAAAATTGGATTTTGAAAAGGTTTATGATAGGGTGGTGGGTAAAAGGTTTTGGTTTTAGGTGGAGGAAGTGGATTAGTGGTTTCTTTTTTTCAGTGTCTTCTCCGGTGATTTTAATGGCAAGCCTCTATCTTGGTCTACAGGGTCTAGATGTATGAGACAGGTGATTCACTTTCTTTGTTCTTCTTCATGTTAGTGGTTGTCGTTCTTAGTCGGAAGTTGACTAAATGGCATAAGAGAGATGTACTAAAGATTTGTGCTAGGGGAGGAGAGGTTTGAGATTTATCATTTTCCATTTGCAGATGATCCTATACTTTTTCTCTTGAATGATAGTAAACTGTGGCTAATGATGCTCTTATGCTTGTGAAAACTTGTGAACGTATTCTAGTTTCTGTGTCAATCTTAAGAAAAGTGGCCTGGTGGGTATTAATGGGAAGAAGGGGTGGTGAGTGATCCTATGGAGGTTATTGGCTACAATCATTTATCTTGGCCCATTATCTATTTAGGTGTTCTGTTAGGTGGGAATCTGAGAGCTAATTCTTTTTGTGATGGGGTTGTTGGTAGGGTCTCTTGGCAGCTTGATCATTGGAAGGTGGTACTAACTCAGATTACTCTTTTAGCATTCCTCCGTATTTCATGTCCTTACTTAGAATTCCTAAGAGGGTGGCTGAGGCATTGAGAAATTCATGAGAGATTTTCTGTGTTCCAGCATGGGGGAGGTCTTATCATTTGTCTTCCTTAACAGAAGGGTGGCTTGGGCATAGGAACTTTTGACTCAAAAAGCTTGTTTTAATTGACTATTTGGTTTTGGTGTTTTCCTCAAGAAATTTTCCATAGGCAAAAGGTGATTAAATATATCCTCGACATGCATAAGAATGACTGGGATTCAATTGCCAGAATTCCACAATCCATATAAGTCCCCGAAAAGCTACCTCTCAACTGTATAATCTCTTTATCCTTTTTACTCAATTGAATTTGGGGGATGACTCTTGAATCTCATTTGATTATATGGTTTTGGCATTTTCCTCAAGAACCTCTCTCTACGCACAAGGTGATTAATATATCTTCGACATGCATAAGAATGAAGAGATTCAATTGCCAGGAATTCCACCATCCATAGAAGTCCCCAAAAAGCTACATCTCAAGTGTATAATCTCTTTATCCTTTTTACTCAATTGAATTTGGGGGATAAACTCGAATCTCATTTGATTGGGCAATTGCCTTTTCGCTTTGTGTTTCCCTTGTCTCTCTAATCTCTCCTTGTATCCGAATGTTTCAATAAATAATTTTATATTAACCATTGCACGAGAAATCAGTCTTGGATATGCACTTCTTTCGAAATCTCAATGACCCATCTACCAATATGTTATCTTTGATTCCTTTGCTTGAGCATCTTATTTCCTAGATTGCTAATAGAGTTCAGAATCTGAACCTCTCCAGTACTTACACTCGTAAAACTTTCTCATTCATCTAACTCGTAATGATAACTACTAGCTTGATTTTCCCAACCAACTACTTTTGGAAGATGAAAATTCCCACAGAACGTTAAGGTTTTGTTTGCATGTCTTTCATGTCAGATCCTCCTGGGTTTCTTCCACTTTTATTTATTGTTTTTTGAGGTCTTACTTAAAAAGTGAAGTGATAAAAGAGGAGCTGAGGATTCTTTGGGAAGGTGCCATTTTGGTTGGTTTTGTGAGTGCTTTGGTTGGAGGACAGTGCCAGAATTTTTAATGATTGCATTACACCTCCTCAGTTCTTGTGGGAGAGGTTCACTTTTTTGGCTTTGTGCTCATAATTCCTTCAGAGTAGTTTTGTTATCCACCCTTCATAGGATTGGGAGCCTATCTTCTTCAGATTTTCTTTTTTCTTTTTATTTTACTTGCTTCCACTTTTTAGGAGGTTTCTTTGAGAACACCTTATCCTCCTCTTTGTACCTCTTCTTTATCTGCTATCTAACAAATTTTCTTTTCCTGTAAACAAAAATTGTCTTAAGAAAACAAAATAATTGAGTAAATAATAAATTCCATGTGGAATTAGAATAACACACTCGAAATTCTATCAGAATTGATGAAATTTGTATATACTGTTTCAGTTCCATTTGAACTCAATTTTTATTATTTCAAGTAGGACCCATCATCTTCTTGTTAAAATAAATGTGAATTTGCAAATGGATTTCATACGAATTTTGGATTTATCTCAAAGATAGCCTAAATATTTAATAATACTAAAATATGTCTATTCTAAATAGGGCACCAAGAGGGCGCGGCCCATACAAAGAAATTTACACGTCAGTTAGTACATCAAAAATCCTCCCAAAATCATCCCACCAATGTATATCATGACCCAGAATTACAGTCCCAAAAGTGTGTAATCATCTATTTCTAATTCTTCCAATATCCCCAACACACCAATTAAATGCTCTATTGTTTCTCTCTTTTCACACTAGCCAAAAAATAGTTAAAGGAATAAGTTTAACAAGACTAGAACTTTTCCCTAATCCACCCCAAGTCCCAAGTTCATTTTCTACCGAGCCCCGAACTACCCAATTGATCCCCAAAAGGCTATACACCATATGTCATAAGCTATACATCACCGGGCATCAAAGAAGGAGATGGTTGCAAGATTCAGCAGCCCGCAAGCAAAGGTAACATCTATTGATCATAATGTGGCCCCTTATCATCAACTTGTCAATAGTAAGAATACACTCCCGACTTGCTTACCAGGCGAAGAAAGCAATTCTTGGCAGCACCTTCACTTTCCTAATATGAAAGTCTGGAAATTTCAGAGCATCACCTGCCTTAGTAGTCAAGAAGTCATAGAAGGACTTAACTGTAAAGATTCCATCGCTCTTGAACTTCAAAACAGCCTTATCCTTATAAGTATCTAGATGCACTTCAGCTGGGACTTGGAGAAGCTTTGAAAACTCATCAATCCCCCAATCATTTAGATTTCTAAACAAATTCAGGTTCCACCCACCCCTCCCATCCACTCCCCTAAACACCTCCTTGACCACCACATTCTTCCTCACAGCTAGATTGTTCCCACTTGGAAACTGATGCATAAGACAGCCCCTCCCAAGCCACTCATCCTCCCAAAACCTAATAATATTACCCCTCCCAAGCTTCCACTTTATACCCTCCAAGAATTGAGCCCTCCCCATAAAAATACCCTTCCATAAACCCATCCTATGAGGCCTAGCCATCCCACTGCTACTCCCTCTCCCACCAATATCTCCCCATCTAGCCCCTACAACCCAGTACCACAACTTCCCTTCCACCACAAGGCCCCTCCACAACCACTTCCCCAGCAAAGCCCTACTCAACTCCACCAAGGACCGGATACCTAAACCCCCCTCCCCCATTATACTTAGGTTTTTTCACATCTTCCCACTTCACCAAATGATATTTATGACATCTCTCCTCATCCCCCCATAGAAAATGACAATGGATATTCTCCAACTTTTTGGCATTTTTCACCGGTGTAGTCAAAGCATGAAGATGTTAAATAGGGAGGTTAGAGAGAGTATTTTTAATAAGAGTTAATCTCCCCCCTTTAGAGAGTAAATTTCTTTTCCAGCTCGCAAGTTTCCTCTCAAATAACTCAATTACCAGGTCTCAAGATTTCACATTTTTATATTTGGCCCCCAAAGGAAAACCCAAATACTAATAGGCAGTTGAACAAGTTACACCCAAGAACCCCGGGAAACCAGTCACCATTACCCATGCGCCCCAACATCACCATCTCTGATTTATTCAAATTAATATTCAACCTCGACAGTGCTTGAAAACATAATAGAATGCATCTCAAATTCAAGATCATCTCTTCCTTCAACTTACAACAAATCAATGTATCATCCACAAAGAACAAATATGACACTTCCAATTGACCCCCACTTCTCCCAATCAACATACCTTTAATCAGGTTCTTCTCCCTCGCTTTTTCAAGAATTCTGTTTAGAGCTTCTATGACTATAATGAATAGTAGTGGAGATAGATGATCGTCTTATCTCAAGTCTCTAGAAGCCCTGAAAAAAGAAGAGGGGCCACCATTAACTATTACCACAAACGAAGCAATAGTAATGCAAGCTTTCATCCATTTTTTCCACTTCCCAGCAAGCTCCAATCTCTCCAACATATAGTC